TTTAGTTGATATAAAATTATATTAATTAGTTTGTCATAACCTGTGATATTTTGTGTATTTATTAATAGATAAGTAGTCTGTTTATTACTAATACACTGTACATTCCGAGTTCTGAGATTGTGATGTAGGCCTACTTATAGGCACAAATACTGTTTAAATCATTTTACACAAAAGAAACACTATTTTCAAAAATAAATCATAGAGTGTACAAAACACGAATTGGGAAAATGTTGATATGATGAATGAAGAAAATTGAAATATAGAATCACGATGACTCTCATCAGAGAAAAAAAGATATACAGTTAGTCGTTTCAGCTTATGTGAATTGTGAACTATGTTTACGTGTAAAATTAGTGATGCACTTGGTTGCAGCATTTTAATGATGGTTCGCATCTCATTTAAATGCATGCTGAAAATTCCTGGTATAAAACAAGTTCGACAAACCCATCTTTTTTATTGCGATACTGTTTCATACACTGTACATGGAGAAAAATAGTGTGAGTAGTAGTTTGTGGAAAGATATTCAGTGACACGCCCAATATATCGGGCCAAGCCGAGCTATTAAAGGTCCCTTTTAAATATACCGAAATAGGCTATACTGATCAAAAATAATAGTTCAACTGTTTCTTTGATTTGTATATTTTAGTTTGTTTATAAGATACTTGTCTGCCCAAAAACAGATATAAAACTTGCAGAAGCAGATGCAATTTTTTTTTCTTGCAAATATGGGATGATTTTCTGATAAGCGCAAAAAGATTGAAATGATTGTCAACTGCAATTGTGTCTTTTCCCATAAAACTGAATAAGTGTAGGTCGCTCGTTGTCTTCATTACTTCAAACCAATGCTACCGAGTGCAGTAGTAACTATTCATTCATATCACAATCCATTCGCAAATGCTGATATGTCACACAATCAATATAATAATATTCAAGTTTTATCGTCGTAGCGCCAAGAATTAACCAATGATCATCAGCATAATTATTATCTGTGTAAAATCCAGAAAAATGTTCTTAAATACATTCATAACATAAAGAAATGTTAAAGTACAGAAATTATGGTACCGTAACATATTTTAAGCCCCATATATTCTGTAAAAGAACATTAATATAAAACAAAAATTCTCAATATTATATTTCAATCAGTAGGCCTATTTATAAATTTTCAAATAAGTGTAAAATTATAGATTATTTGTTATCAGTGAGAGTATGAATACATTCAAAAATAACCTTGGCAAACATACAAATGTTTAATATGATTATTTTTATTATTGTTCAATTGAAGTACTGAAGGTCCTCCGCACGTGTGGTGCTGATATGGATTTACCATCCAGATTCTAGAATATAACGAAAGCTTCATTAGCCTATTGCCATTGGAAATCCTTTTTTTCCCCAGGAAATTTTTTGTCGTACTTGGTTGCTATTACCATACAAGATACTTTTATTGTCACTTTGTAAACAAAATACAAGTAAAATTCGTCTTTCCAATGCAAAATAATTAAAGAAGTTAGACATAAAAAGGACATAAATAAAACAGAATATACAATGATACAATTATTTACAAGAATTGTCTATATATTGATCCCAGTGGCGTAACGAAGAGGCCGGAGGCCCCTAGGCAGGGGCCCTTCGGGCCCATAGGTCTCCCAGACGCTGGGAGCCGCTCAGGTGTTTTTAGCGTTCCATGACGTATTGATAATGCCCTTTTCACACATTCAAATTTGTAAGTTTGTCTATCGCGATTTGACCCTCAAAAAAGCATACTTATTTCCAGCTAAGATATCACTTTATAAACATATTACAATAAATACCAAACAAAACGAGCCAATTAAAATCAATAAATATTTATGAACATTTATTTTAACAAAATGTAGACTGGCGATAGTGATGATAATAAAAATGCTCCAATCACCCTGCAGACTTTGTCTTGGAAATGGGCCTTTGATTATTTATTGTAAAAAAATACTGTTTTTGAATTTGTTGGGACCTCCTGGACCCCTGGCTTTAGCCAGTGAGAGCTCATAGCCTTTACACCCTGAACTGTAGGCCTACGTGTGGATTGAGTTATGAATACATTATTTTCTTAATCTGTTTGTATAGCACTTTATTGGACGTACTATTCGTAAATTATTTTGAACAAATGAGGTGAATAACAGTAGGCCTACAACATTTCTGAGCATCTTCACAGTTACTAACAAAATAATTTGATACAGTATTAGTTTGACAAAGGTGAGGGTTGCAATCTATATGATTGTCTTGTTTCATTTAATATTATTTATACTGCGGTCCAGGGGCGTAGTCAATAATTATTTCAAGAAAATTTGATATTTTTTCTATAAAATTATTATAGAAAATAATATCCCGACTAGTCTGTACATTCATGCAGTATACTGTATTATTAGTACGTTTAGGAATATGGCTTAAAAAATTACAGTTACTCCATACCATTTGCCCAATTCACTTAAAATGTACACTCAACGTCAGGTCCTCCACAAATATGCATGGATAGGCCTATGGATTTACCATCCAGGTTCTAGAACATAACGAAAGCTTAGCATATTGCCATATAATAATATTAGACATCATTCTCTTATTAGGAAATGATTTTTCCTACTTGATTGCTGTTATACAATATACCTTTATTGTCAGTTTGTAAACAGACTACAAGTAAATGTTGTCTTCCCAATGCAAAATTGTTTAAGAAGTTAGACATAAAATAATCGAAGGAAATAAATGAAACAGAATATACAATGATACAATTGTTTGCAAGAGTTAGTCCATCTAATAAAAATCAACATTTGTATGGTACATGTGAAAAAATGAATTTCTTAAAGAGTTTTTATTGCACTTTATTGAACGTATACTATTTCAAAATACTTTTCTAAACAAATGAGGTGAATACGAGTATACCAATTATGGGCCTCTTCACAGTTACAAAAAAAAAATTAATATTTAATAGTTCAACAAAGGTGGGTTGTGATATATGCGACTGTCTTGTTTCATTTATTATTATCTATACTGCGGTCGATGAGACTATAATCATACAATAACACAGTAGTACGAAAAGCTTTATTTTTTAAAAAATTAATTAGATAAAATACAGAAAGTTAAAAAAATAAGTGAAAGGCCGGATATGTGACCAATGAGAATATAAGAACAAAAAAATAGAAAAAAAAAACCATACACAAAAGTACGGTAAAACATTTCTTTACATTGAGAAGCGGTACTCAGTAGAGCATGTCCTCCGCCTACATTTCTGCCTCGCGAGCCAATTACACTTTTATATGAAAGTAAAGATGATGCTAATTTTTTTTAAATGAATGTACTATTGAATGAAGACTGCAAACATTTAAAGGCTCTGTAAACGATTTGTCTCAGCTATGTAATTAGTACAATTAAAACTCCTTTAGACGGGTACACTGGTAAATTTGAAAAGTCAAATGGCCTCGTTAGGCAGACACATCAAGGACGTGTGCCAAGTGTTCATTTAATGGTTAGCAAAAATAGGCATGGGTTTTTTCGTTATATATCTATATAATTTTTTTTATATGATGTAAAATATTTCATATAATATATAATATTTTACATAATATATATTTTATATAATATAATATTTTATATATAGGCCTATAGTTGTTTATATAATATATAATTTTTTTAATATAATATATAATATTTTTATATAATATATATTTTGTATATAATAATATTATAATTTCTTATAATATATAATTTTTTATATAATATATAATATTTTATATGATATATAATTTTTATATAATATATTACATTTTATATATTATATAAAATATTAAATATTATTTAACGTAAAAAACCATGTCAATTTTTGTTAAATAAGGTGCCTCATATTTTTCAATCTCCGTTAATTTGTCTCAGATCATATGCATAAACGCATTCACCACAGACCACACTAAATTTTGTATCGGCTATTTAGTACAGGCTAAATGTGACAAAAATCCTATTTAACCTTAAACAAACTCTAATAAAAGGACTGTTTGCATATTCTTGTAGGCCTATATTTTAAAAGTCATGAAACAATTGTTGCCACCTTTTTATAGTTGCGTTTACAAAACATTCAGGGTCGAATGTCAATTACCTATATGCAGCATGTTCCAGGTCATAATATAATATTTCATATATAGTTGTTTATATATATAATTTTTATATAATATATATTTTTATATAATATATAATTTCTTATATAATATATAATATTTTATATAAAATATAACTTTTTATAGCATATATTACATTTTATATATTATATAAAATATTGAATATTATATATAACGTAAAAAACCATGTTAATTTTTGCTAAATAAGGCGCCTCATAATTTCGAATCTCCGTTATTTGTCTGAGATCGTATGCATGAACGTACTCACCCAAGACCACACTAAATTTCGTATTGGCTATTGGATAAAAGAGTGTGATGTCATTCTACCAAACGTTAAGTAAAGGATTTATTTGTTCGCCGGGTTACCTACGTGAGGAAAAACAGTAGTACACGAAATAGCACCCTAATTGTAGCCCCCTTTCTATACAAAATCATAAGAGTTTTACAACTTTGAAATAAAAATGGAAATATTATATATACATTATTATAAAGCTTCAAAAACCTAGTTTTATAATCTGATCACCCTTGTCAATGTCAAATAAAACCATTGAAATTATATTGTCGATTTTGTGAGAAAAGTTAGGGTCTCAGTTGACTCGTATATCGATGAAGGAAAGTGGTATGTAAATTAAAAAAAAAAAAAAAAAAAAAACTAACAAGAAAGTCACAAGGAAGTAAAGTGATTTATTGAAAAATGAAAAGCCCACAAAATATTAGGAATATATATAACAAAGATATTGTCTTCAAATTTCTACTGCGCAACTGTAATTCAATAATACTTGATTATGTTTGCTTTTCCATTCGTTAAAAACCAACGCTACTTATTGTATTATATTAATACTAAGCACACAAGGAAATAAATGGGGAGAAAAACTGTTGTGCTATAAAGTGAGAGCTTCGAGTCAATCCGGATTTGAGATTCAGAAATGTTCTGAATTATTGACAGTATTAAACTCTGTTATATAATAGCGAAAACGATATTTATACAGTCGCAGATTTGTATACTACGAATTAATAGCGTACAGCTGTAGGCTTAAATATGTACGGTATAACATATAGGTGGATCATTATCCAAATGATTATTTATACAGTCTGCTTGTACCGTCTGACGGAATCATCAGGTAAGTGTAGTAGGGTTGATACCGAACTTACTTGAAGCCCATACTTGAGGTAGTGTAGGTCTATCTAGGCATAACGTACTTAGAAGTAGATATTAATTATTCTACATTATTTTTTTGATTTGCTACCACTTGCTTATTAGGTGAGCATGTACGTGTGGAGGGAATCACAAAATAAACTAGATGTTTATTTGTGTAATGAGTGAAAACTTTGATACAAATTATTCAATAAATCATGTTCATAATATCTGGCTTAGTAATATAGTCAAATGAAGGTTTTGAAAATATAGTGATGTCAGGGTTTTATAAAGGAAAAACAGAGGAAGGCAAATATAATATGAAGAGCTTATAAACAGGCTTGATAAACCCCCAAATTAGATCACGCATGAAGGTCGTTGCCACCTGATGTAGGGCATAGAAGATCATGTAGGTACAAATTCCTGTACGATTATGGGTTTGGTCTACAGGATTATAAGACGGTGGTAACTTTAATAGAGATAGCATTCTTTTCATGTACTGTTATGTAGAACGGCTTACGCCAAAACTAACTGGGCTTGATGAGAATAAGCGCTGCAGATAACGACGGCGGAAGCAGGGAAGGGGAAGGGGGGCCATTCGCCCCCCCCCCACTTTTTCTACTGAGGGACCTGCTTCCCGCCCCACTTTTGTGACTGTTGCCAGCACCAGTGACAATTTACGAACGCTGCAATGTCATTATTATTATTATTATTATTATTATTAACAATAATAATAATAATAATAATAATAATAATAATAATAATATTATTATTATTATTATTATTATTATTATTATTATTATTATTTGGTGCTTAGAGACCTTGTTTATTTGCCCTTTATAAGTTGACCTATTATTATTATTATTATTATTATTATAAAATATAGGGGTTTTTTCATTTTCTAATGAATATTACAAGTTCCCTTTTTGAACTGAGGAACCAAACGTTGATTAATGTCAGTATAGGCGCGTCTGTAAAGTTTACTTGAAACCCACCCTTGAGCATGAAGAAAAAGAATGGAGTCACCCACCTTCTGAATTCTGTATTTGGGGTGGAGGTAGACACTCTTTATGGAGCGACGTATAGCCTGGGTGCAGTAGGAAATTAGCGGGAAAAAAGTAAAGGAAAATTTATTTTTGGTTTTCTGAATCAGTATATCATATAGTGTCTCAGAAAAAAAATCCCCATTCTTAGAGCTTGGGCAATTTTTTTTATAGCACTTTAAAGTTTTGACATAAAATATCCTATTTTGGGCTAATTAAGATCAGGGTAGGGGAAATAAATGTATGTTTTTTGTCACTTTTACACATGCTATGTATATCAAATGTAACAAGAACTTGGCTAAATTGTTACTCCTCACCCTCGCTAAAAAATTTAATCAGAATAATGACGTCATTACAAAAAATTCCAAGATGGCTGCCATTTTGGCTGTAAAACTCTTTTAAAATGTAAATTTAACTGTATTGTTATCAGAGCAATTTCAAAACAATATATATCCATACACACACACA